AAGGAGCAGATATATAGTAACACAAACAGTACATTTGAAAGTTCGTCTAACTTAAGAATATAATCAAGACCTGCAAGTTCTTTTGAGTTAACGGCTCACATGGGCTTGTATGAACATATACAAAAGGCTTTTTACCACTAATGGTCAAAGTATTTGCATCGAGTACAGGAATTTGACATGCATAACTCAGAAGCTTCAATATGGAGTAATGCAAGCTTAAAGTAGAATTCAAAGTAACTGAGAGCGAGCCTTGCTTTGCTGTCCGCCAAAATAACTGGGTGGTCTAACAATACTAATTTGATCATAACCTTTAGTAGGAATGTCCAAATGACGAACGACTTGATGCGTTTGAAACTAGACTCGAAGGGCTACACTCTAGGGGAAACATTCATGGAAACTATCTTTATATTATGAGAGTTATACCCATTCAGAAGCAGGTGCTATGCAAATTAAGACACCTTTTCCACTTAATATTTCCAACTTGTTCCAAACAACTTCTTTCCACTTATAAACCTCCTTAATATGTTCCAAAACACTTTCCATACGTATTTTCATGTTAAAATAATGTGGTTCTATCACATAGGTCTCCGTTAGAACTCAAAAACATTATTCCCAATTATCGTTGGTGCACTATAAAATCTTAAATCAATGGAAATTTTCTTACGGGGCCTTACATTCTTCTCGACTTAGGAACATTCGTCCTCGAATGTTGGATCTTGGACTTTTCCATCCTTAGGGAGAGTACTTAAGTTTTCTTACCACCTATTTATCTCCTTTAGGTTAACAACCCTTAATCGATGTCCTGAGGACCCCACAAGTCTTAGCTAAGTACAAAGTCATTCTCCTTATCCCTAAACCATTATCTTAATCATTCATAACTTACCCTCAAGCCTTAAATCTTCAAAATTTAACTAACTCCCCAACTTTTCAAAAATTTTGTCAGAGTCTCCTTTATATATAGGTCTATCCACCTGTCAGAGAGCCAAATAAACCAACCCAAGAAATATATAGAGACTGAGGTAAACATGTACAATAATTTCTATGACTGAGTACAAATAATATGAGCACAAATAAAGCCTAAGCATGATCTCTAACATGAAGGCAGACAAGTTCAACAACAAGTAACTACGTCAACACAGATGATGACCATGAGGCCTCACGGGACGGAACAAGTCTCAATCCCTTGAGATATACACCCATACGCCCGTTACCTAGCATGGCTATCACCTCCAAACAGTCACACGATATCAAATTCTCCGGGTTTATACCCTCAAAGCTAGAGTTAAAACTGTTACTTACCTTAACAGCGTAAAATTCTACTCCGGGATGCCCTCGTCTCTGGACCTGGTCTCCAAAAGCTCCAAATCTAACCATAATCAGATTAATACCATCAACATAGGCTAACGAATCGAATTCCACAATAAAAATTATAAAATATGCCAAAAATCCGAAACCGGCCAAAATCCGGCCCCCGGGCCCACATCTCGAAATCAGTCAAAAATAGAAGAATAATAAACCTCGTCCTCTACTGAGTCTAACCATATAAAATTTATCAAATTCGGACTCCGTTTGATCCCTCAAATCCTCACTTAAACTTTCCAAAACTCAAGCCCTAACTCCCTCAATTTCACTTTGAAATCATCAATCAAATCCCAAAAACGAAGATGGATTCATGAAATATAACCAAAATCGAGTAAAAAACACTTACCCCAATCCCAATGGTGAAAATCGCCTCCAAAATCGCCCAAATCCGAGCTCCCCAACTCAAAAAATAACACGAATGAACAAACTCTTGTTTTATATATTTTTCTGTCAGTTATTCTACCTCGTTTCTTGTGCCAAACAATCTCGAAACTCACTTTTTATGCCTCCAATGGATTCCTTGTGAAATTCTAGTCAAGTTAGGATTTTGAATCACTCAATTTGACCTTATAATGAAGGAGATATGTAGGTATTAATATTTGCAAATAGTGCAGATTTTTAAATACGCCGTTAATGGCAATTTCGTAATTAAGCTGAAAAATCTGGCAACCTAATTCTTAGTAAAATGACCATTAAATTCTCATACTATGTCCAAATTTGACGATTCTTTTTGCTACGGGTCCGTAATTACGATACAGATCTAATTCTTCAATCAAAAAAGAAATCGGAGCTCATTTGTTCAATATGATATCATTTATGCTTGAAGAAACGACGTCGAAACATAAAAAAAAACGAGTGCAACACAACCCAAACCTATCCGAAACTCACCCGAGACCCTCGGGACCTCAACCAATAATTCCAACAAGTCATATATCACTACTCAAACTTAGTCGAGCCTTCGGAACACCCAAAACAACACCAAAACACCAAATCAACCTCGGATTCAAGCCTAAGAACTTCTAAACTTCCAACTTACGCCAATTCAAGCCTAATTCTACCACGGACCTCCAAATTACATTTCGGACATATTCCTAAGTCTAAAATAACCCAACGAAGCTAATTGAATCATAAAAATCTAAATCCGAATTCGTTTACTCATAAGTCAACTTCCGGTTGACTTTTCTAACTTAGCTTTCTAACTAAGAGACTAAGTGTTCATTTCACTCAAAAACTACTCCGAACCCAAGCTTACCAACTCGATACAACTCAACACAGTTGAACAACACATAAAGAAGTAGAAATGGGGAAACAAGGCTATAACTCTCGGAACGACTGGTCGGGTCGTTACAATATCCCTGTCGGGTAGCATCCCCGACAGGTCTGCAGGAAACATCTCTGGAAACTCATGAACAACTGGCACGGAATCTATGGAAGGAACCTCCGCACTAGAATCGCGGACATATTATCGAGAAGATAGATATAATACATATATTAGTTTGATACAATTATTGATGTGAATAATATCTAAGATATATTGCACTTAAAAAGATATATTTGAACTCTTTTTTGGATTACCGAAAATTTTGTTTAATAAAATATGCATATTTTTTTTTAATTTCAAAAATGCATATTTTAACATGAATTTCATATTAGAAAAAGAGTAAATATTTTTAATAAACATTTACTCATATTTTACTTGAAATATTCCTTTATATTCACAAATATACATTAACAGATAGTACATTAGTAGTATTTTTTAGCATTACTAATATGGAATAAGATTAATTAATACAGTCAGACTTCTCTATAGCAACATTCTTATATAACAATATTTTTTTATAAAAGTCAAGCTTTTTTAGAACCAATTTTTATGTTATGTTATAATATATGTTCTCTATAACAACACTTTGCTATAACATTCAAAAATATTCAGAACAAACAAACCTGTTATAAAGAGATTTGACTGTGTAACATTTAATTGACACTTATAAAGGACATATTTTAATCCTAATTTTATTCAGTTAATGAGTCCCTATCAAACTCTAAAGCAGCCAGAGCCATTAAGGTAGGGTCCCTACTCACTTGCCATTCCTTTATTTCCGCGTTAAAGAAAAGAGGCATGAAAACACACTGAAGAAAGAATCGTTCTTTCTTCTATTTTTTCCGTACTGTCAAATCAGGTAATATTCACGCGTCTATTTTTCTCCCTTTCTCTCTCTCTCTCTCTCTATATATATATATTCTTCGCCAGAGATTCTGTTATTTTTCCTCCATAAAATTTCATCTCAATCTGCTTCTTCTTGTTTATATTGTTGTTTGGTTAGATCTCTTCAATTTGCTAGGGTTTTTTCTCTTCTCTCTCTCTGATGGCTTCGAAACGGATATTGAAGGAGCTTAAGGATCTTCAGAAAGATCCTCCTACCTCTTGCAGTGCCGGTATCTCTTCTTCTGTTATATAAACTTCTTATATCATCTCTTATATGCCTTTTTTATTATGATGTCCGGTGTTTCTCAGTGTCCGAGATTTATCTTCTGTAATTTTAAGTTCAATTATTCGTATTGGATTGAAATAGACCTGAATAGTGTGGGATGAATACAAAGGATTCCTATAATCGGCCCTAACTAATTTCGGATTGAGGTGTGATTTTGTTTTGTTCTGTAATTTTCCTTGAGTTTGCTAGTTGATCTCTGGCATCTCAATGCAAATGGTGCCTGTGAGACGCTGATGCAGCACGTTTTGGCACCATATTTTCGGCACGGAGCATAAATTTATGTGTAAATCTCCTCTAAAATTGCGACAAATAGTATATATGAATCCATAATTTAAAAATACAATGGGTTTAATGCGAAAACCCTTAAAGGTTGACCACATACAACTTAAATTCTGGATCTGTCTCTGGTGTCTGTTGTTGTATTTAGGTATTTATCTTGCGTACATGTGCAATTCAATTAAGATTTTTAGGGTGCATTTGTAATATTGAGGGTCGTTTCTATTCCAAGCTAAGTTATCTTAGGGTAATTTTGCCTGCTTGGATTTGATGTTTTTGGATAGAAATGTTTGTGTGGTGGGGGAGGCGGAGTTTCTATTACCAGTAAACCTAGTTATGTTGTGTTCGAAATTTGTCCCATGCTGTCTTACAGAAAGCATCTGATCAAACTAAAGATAAGTTCAGAAGCGGAATTGGGTTATGCCTTAATTGATTTTGCAATACTAATTGCAGTGACTCTATATGTATTTTTTTATACAAGGGAGCGGTTCTGTATGTATGTATTTTGTTTTCGCATAAAATTGCGCTAGAACATACAAGATGACTTATGACTAATAACTCATAATCCTGAGCTAAGAATTTTATGGGATTCTGGTTCCTGATTAAGCTCTTGGATCTACATGTCAACTGTTGAATATTGGTTTTATTTGTCAAGGGTAAAATATTGAGGACTTGATGCAAGTTGCAACATGTGTACAAGCATGTATATTGTGTTTTTGGTTTATGTTGTAAACTAGAAAGGAATGTAACTAACCAAAAAAGAAAAAAAGAAGAAAATGTCAGTTGCTTTATCTTGTGGGAGTATTTTTTTCGGGAAGTGTGATAGTTTATCATTTTGTGTTCTTGCTCTCAATATTTAACCTAAACAGTTTAATCTTCGGGCTGTTTGGCCGCCTACCTTCTATTGATGCAGATGAAAATCAATTTCTTATAGTGTCTGGCATTATTATATTAGTACAATCTTGTTTACTGATAGACAAATCACTTTCTTATATATAGAGTTTTGATAACAAGCTAAGTTGCCAATTAGAGTTCTTGGTTTTAGTATTAAACGCTGTATTCTTGTTGTGATCAGCTTTTATTGAGATCGGCTATTACTGAAGTGTAAGTTTGTCGGTTTTGTAGCTTTATTTAGAGGATCAATTGTGACGTGTATTTTCGTGTCTTTATGGCAATGTAGTATAGTGAGGTTACGGGTTGGGTTTTTGTAAATTTTAAACTTAGTTGAATAAGCCCTATTGCTCAGCCAGTTGCTTTTGAACTCCAAAAGAGCAATTCTGTCTCCACAGGTCTAAGGCCACATCTCGATTTCACTCCCTATGGTATCTGGTTCCTTTACCTTTTCAAAATTTTTGGTACATTAGCTCTTCTATCTTGTGCAGCCCTCCAATGATATCTTGGCAGAGTGGGCTACCTGATTTTCATGGAGATAGGAAAGCTTTTCTTTAGTGGTTTTGTTTTGTCCATGACTAGGCTTCTTGTTGGTTTTTATTTTAATAAATATTTCAAACATAAATCACAATTGAGAATTTGTGGCAACGAGTGAGAATTTGTGGCATGAAAAGGTTTAGACGTGAGGGTTTTGTCTAATGGTTTCTCTTGGCAGAGCTTATGCAATGACTAGATTAATTCTTTTAAAGTATTTGACTCGAATAATTACGTCTTCATGTACTCTGTTAATTCCTCCAAGTTTCCTAGTTTTGGTATCTATACCATCATGTCAGTTACTTTTTAAGATGCTTTTCGGATCTTTTTATTTGAATCTAAGCCTTGTGATAGTCGATAGTCCATGTCAAGACGTCCTACAGATGTTATTTTGCCTATATTCTGATCTAAGTCCATTACACGTGTTGTACTTTCATCTAGTTTCCTGATATGTGATTCTAGTTGTCAGTTGGTTTTCAACTTCCATGTTTGCTCTATGGAAATAGTTGCATGCTTATATTAAAAAATAATACAGGAGACTATAGTTACTTTAAATTTTAGTGGTAGGGTATCTTGGCAATCCTACGCACATGTTCTTGTATCTTATAAAAGGGAATAACCATGTCATTCACGATTTCATTTTTTTTAACTTCCTAACTTCCTATACCATGTTTACAGGCCCCGTTGGAGAGGACATGTTTCACTGGCAAGCTACAATAATGGGCCCTCCAGATAGCCCCTACACCGGGGGTGTATTTTTAGTCACTATCCATTTTCCTCCTGATTATCCATTTAAACCTCCTAAGGTATGAGAGATATCTCAACTTGATAGTAATTTGTGCTATTAGCAGATACCGTTCAATTCAATTTTGCATTTTAGCACAATGTTAGATTTTTGAATCTCTTCTCTGGCCTTGGACAAATATACTCAACGCCTGTAATTGGTTGTATGCTTTTAGGCCATTGGAGCCTATAGGAGAAGTTTGTGTAACAACAGATTTCGTGCCTGAAAATAATCAAAGACTAGAAATTACGTAACAAATGTAGTATTTTATTTCAAATACAGGGAATATTACAATCTCTAGAATTTCTTCAATTTGAAGAAATTATCCTCTTATTCTTTTATTTTCCTAACTGTTAACTCACAGGCTTGATAGTTTGATCTTGAGTCTGACAAATTTTAATCTAAGGATTGAAACGTAACCTTGAATTATGATTTTGAACTTGAGGATAGATGTTAGTCCTTAAAATCATGCTTTTTCACCTGAGCTCTATCTTTCTCGCAGCTTCTTGATTTCTTAACCCCTTTTTGGTTATGGAGGACAAGAGAGGAGTTGTGATAAGGACAAATGTTTTTGCTTTGATTTGATTGGTTGACTTGAATTACCGATCAATTAGATTGAAGCAGTGACAAGGTCACATCTGATTTTCCAAAACATGTCATTGATACACACGGCGCATTTCATTAGCCTTTTGATTTGACTTGGCATGCCACATCATGATTCTTTTGGCTCCTTATTTGACTTTGCCCGTAACGTAATTTGTCACATGGCACAAATTTAGGCCTCTATAATAAGAGACATTATGGGCTAACTAACAAAGTGGACTCGTCATTTAAAGTCTAAATAAATGGATCAACCTAATGAATTTGAACTTTTTAATTAGATCCATGTATATTGGACTTGCATAATGTTCCAATTTATTAGCTTACAATATTTACTTGGATTAATATATCTTGAATTTAAAATATAGTCTAAATTATTTTATTAAGGAATCGTACATAATTTTTTGAAATCAACCTTGATAGTTTACATTATGCGCGCCTTCACCAAAAAAAAATTATATCTTGATGTAGGAACTTTAAAATCACAAATCGTTTTTGTGTTAAAAAGAATATTTCAAAGGCTACAACATGTTTAAAATTCAAAGTGAAATTTCCGCTAGGTTAGGTTAGATATTCTTTTTTGAAATCGACTTTAGATTATATGATAGGCAGATTTTCAGTTTGGAGCGCTGTCACAAAAAAAATTATATCTAGATGTAGGAGCATCAAATCCCAATCTGTATTGTTTGCTAGAAAGTAATTATATCTCAATGTAGGAGTATCAAAATCCTAATTTGTATTGTTTGCTAGAAATTAGACTTCAAGGGCAACACATACGCCAAGAATTTTTAAATCACATGAATTTGTTTAGGTGAATTTTCGAACTTGAACAAAAAGGTTAGGAAGGAGGCGAAGCTAGCGGTCACTGATGCCAAGAATGCAACGTTTAGTCATTTGTATGAAGAGTTGGGGGACAAAGGCGGGGACAAGAAGTTATTTCGGTTGTCCAAGTCGAGAGAGAAATGCTCGTGATCTGGATCAAGTGAGGTGCATTAAAGACGAGAAAGACAGAGTTTTAATGGATGAGGCTATGATTAAGAGAAGATGACAGACTTACTTTCATAAACTTCTGAATGAAGAAGGGGACAAAGACATTGTGTTGGGTGATTTGGAGCACTTTGAGAGTCGCCATTATTTTAGGTACTGTAGGTGCATTAAAGTTGAGGAGGTCGTGGGCGCTATGCGTAAGATGAACAAGGGCAGAGCAACTGGGACGGACGAGATCCCGGTTGAATTTGGAGGTATGTCGGTAGAGAGGGCCTAGAGTGGTTGACCGGGCTGTTTAATGTTATTTTTAAGATGCCAGAGGAATGGAGATAGAGTACGATGATTCCGTTGTACAAGAACAAAAGTGAGTACGATGATTCCGTTGTACAAGAACAAAAGTGATATCCAGAATTGTAACAATTATAGGGGTATCAAGCTGCTTAGTCATACGATGAAAGTGTGGGAGAGGGTGGTGGAAGCGAGGGTGAAGAGGTCGATGTCTATATCTAAGAACCAATTCGGATTCATGCCGGGTCGTTCAACTACGGAAACTATCCATCTTATCCGGAGGTTGGTGGAACAGTACAGGTATAGGAGGAAGGATTTGCATATGGTGTTTATTGACCTAGAGAAAGCGTACGACAAGGTCCAAGGGAGGTTCTTTGGAGATGCTTGGAGGTAAAAGGTATTCCGGTAGCATACATTAGTGTGATTAAGGACATGTATGATGGAACCAAGACTCGGGTTAGGATAATAAGAAGAGGCTCGGAGCATTTTCCGGTGGTTATGGGTTATACCAAGTATCTGCCTCAACCCTTTCTTATTTGCACTAGCGATGGACGTATTGACGCACCATATTCAAGAGGAGGTGCCATGGTGTATGTTATTTGTTGATGATATAGTTCTGATTGATGAGGCGCGAGGAGGTATTTACGAGAGGCTAGAGGTTTGGAGACAGACCTTGAGTCTGAAGGTTTCAAGTTGAGTAGGACTAAGACTGAGTACTTAGAGTGCAAGTTCAACGATGTCACAGAGGGAGTGGACAACGATGTGAGGCTTGATTCACAAGTCATCCCAAGAAAAGAAGTTTTTAGTACCTTGGGTCGTTATCCAGGGGAACAGAGAGATCGACGAGGATGTCACGCATCGTATAAGGGCAGGTTGGATGAAATGGAGGTTAGCATTTGCGTTTTGTGTGACAAGAAGGTGCTCTCGGAACTTAAAGGGAGGTTCTACAGAGCGGTGGTTAGACCGGCTATGTTGTATGGATCAGAATGTTGGCCAGTCAAGATTGCCCATATCCAGAAGATGAAATTAGCAGAAATGAGGATGTTGAGATGGATGTGCGGCACACGAGGTTGGATAAGATTAGGAATGAAGATATTCGGGCAAGGGTGGGTGGCTCCTATGGAAGACAAAATGCGGGAAAGTGAGGCTTATATGGTTCGGGCATGTGCAAAGGAGAAGCCTAGATGTCCCGGTTAGGATGTGCGATCAGTTGGCTCTGACGGGTATGAGAAGAGGTAGAGGGCGGCCTAAGAAGTATTGGGGAGAGGTGATCAGGTATGACATGACGCGACTTCAGTTCACCGAGGACATGGTTCTTGATAGGAAGGTATGGAGGGAGAGCATTAGGGTAGAAGGTTAGTAGGTAGTTCCGCGTTTTTCTACTCCGTTCTGTGTGTAAGTCTAGTCGGTCAGTGTCGTGTTTTAGTATGCTAGTGGTACATGTTGGACTCGTACTATTTTCTAGGACCTTGTCACTGCACTGATTATTAATATTGCTTTTCCAGGTATATTTTCTGACTCTTGGCTCGCTGGTTCTATCTTTCTGGTTATGTTGTTGTTACTATTCTATTGTCGCATTTCATCTTCTTGTGCAGAGGATCTATTGGAAACAACCTCTCTACCCCAGGGTAGGGGTAAGGTTGGGTAGGGGTAAGGTCTGCGTACACACTACTCTCCTCAGACTCCACTTGTAGGATTATACTGGGTTGTTGTTGTTGAATTTTCGAACTTGACTTTAACATCTGGAAATGTTTTGACTTGGACAACATGCTTCATGAAATTACCTTGCAAACTTGACAAGGAACTATCTTTCTTTCTCTTGTTTTTCTTTTGTTGCAAACAAATTACCTATATTATTTTCTTTATAGGTAAAACGAAAAGGAAAAAATTTAGTTCAAAGAGATCACCCATGAAAAATCTAGTTTTAGGATCTAAGGGTCGAAAACTATCCCCACCTTGAGATTTCGGCTATGTTTTTTTTAAAGTCAAACTTAAGGCGTAGTACAAAATTAATTTCATCCATGCTTTAAATTTTTGGTTCTTGAGCCTCTAACTCCATCCAAGATTTTATTATTCTGAAGCAAAGACTTTATAGGATCTAAGTTGAACAGTTATCCATGATTTGAGGAAGTCATCTTAAGCATATGGAACAGACAATGTCCCGGCTTCAAGATCATGATTGTTATCTCTACCTTTATAAGTCATAAGCATTTTTTTGTGCAACTTGAATATGGTTATTTTAGAGACTCGACATCCCCTTCCTCTAAGGGCCAAGCTTAAATACCTTATAATTTCATACCATAAGGTTAACAAGTTTGAGACGAGATTATTAGTTGATATGCAATTCGTCGGCTAATATGCAACTAGCTGCCCACCTTTGAGGAATCTATCTTGGTTGTTAGATTGGAATCTTGAGTATACTAGCCGCATGTCTTAGACGTGGATCCTACGCTCCCACAATCATCATGTTAAGAATGTTGCAACTTTCCGAGGGCGACAAATCATCAAAGGCTATGCTTATTGGAGTGATGCCTTGACATTCGATGGAGAATTTCATGACATGCCCGACTATTGGGAGTGCAATGAAAATGTCCTTAGCATGAGTCACCGGACCTTGAGGACAACCAAAATTTATGTTGTATATGCTTCACTATTTACTTATGATCCTGCAATCCTTGTGTAAGGCTGGTGTCCGTTTACAAATACGATGCTCACCTCAGCTAGAGAGCTATCTATATCATTTTGGATCTTATGCACAATTGATGGTTTGAACATAGAGGATCTTCTTATGAGAAGGTCGTGCTAAATGCTAGGCAGGCCATCAATCGTGCATTAGTCCCAAAGTGATATAGATAACTCTCTAACTGAGGTTAGCATCGTATTTGTAAGAGGACATCAAGCCTCACAGAAAGCTTGCATGATATTCGTAGTCGATCATAAGTCAATAGTGAACTTTCTCTTGATTCTATTTTTGAAAGATCTTTCCTTGCTCTGAGGAATGCCCAGTTTAACCAGTATCTACAATATCATAAACATAAATTTTGGTTGTCTTCAAGGCAGGGTGTCTCTTGCTAAGGACATCTTCAGCCCACTCCCAATAGTCGGCAATGTAATGAAATTCGCCATTAAAATTTCAAGGTATCACTCTAATAAGCCACATTCACAACAAGATGATGAAGGGAGCGAAGGATCCATGTTTTGGACGTACAACTATTGTAGTCAAGAGTCCAATCTAGCAAACAAAGACGGATTCCTCATAGGTGGCTATCTAGCTGACTAATGGCGTATCGGCTAACAATCTAATCTTATCCTTGTTGTCTTTTAGATCTGAAATTTTAGTATTTAAGTTTGAAAGAAAGAGTAAAGAGTATGTTGATTCTCTGAAGTAAACCATCAAGCTGCATAAAGAAATACTTACCAATACTTGATTTAGAAATGTGAAAAATAACACTCCTGATATTGACGACAAGACATTGTCCGTCCCGTACGGCCTCAAGACCGACTTCTTCATAACATAGACAAGTCTTCGGCTCTTACTATGTAAGTCTATGCCTCGAATAGAGTAGGAGTAAAGTATTTTTTTGATAAGGAAAAACGAAATAAAGTAGGAGTAAAGTAATGGATGGAGTAAGAACCTCAAGGTGCCAAAATCTTAAAGTGAGGATGAAAATCATCCTCTGCTGTGCCTTAAATTTGACTTCGAAAATAAATATAGTTAAAATCATAAGGTAGTAATAATTTTCTTCCCTTGCACCTTAAGATCAGCTTCTTCATAGATTACGTTTTAGAGAAGTTCTTCGATTGCCAACCTTATCGGAGGGGGGTAATTTTCGTCCCTTGCTTCTTAAGACAACTTCATGGATTAATTCTTTGAAAAGATCTTCAATTTGCCTAACTTTCATCCCTTGAACCCTAAGACTAGCTTCTTCATAGGTTATCCTTTGAACTAGAATTTGTACTTTTTAAAAAATAAAAAAATAAAAAAATACACCTCTGTTCCAATTAAGTTGGTTCAGCTATATGAATTCTCACATTTCCATTTAAACTCAACTCATGTCATCATCATGAGATTTTTATTACAAGAAAAATAATATAGGTTACAAAAGAAAACACAAGTGGAAGAACGATATTTAGCTGTCAAGTTTACAAGGTAGGTTCGTGAAGGCTGTGTTATCCAAAGTCAAAAATGTTCCAGATTTTGACGATAAATTCAAAAATTCTCCTGGACTAATCCAGTGTGATTTAAGTTAAGATTTTTTATGCGGGTAAACCTTGAAATCTTCTTTCTAGTAAACAAAACAATTTATGATTTGGATGCTCCTACTTCGAGATATAATTTTTTTGATGAAGGCGCTCCAAATTGAAACTCTGAATGTTGCAGAATCTAAAGTTGATTTCAGATATTACTTCGCTATAAGGAATTTGACTTTTTGTAAATGTTGTACTTGAAGTCTTCTTTCTAGGAAAAAAAATAATTTGTTATTTGGTGGATGTCTCTGTATCAAGATACTAATTTTTTCCGGTGAAGTGCGCAAATCTAAGACTATTAGCACGTCAGACTTTAAGTCTAATTTCAAAAATTTACCTGAGATGATCCTTAAGATATAAATTTTCTACCACAGGTGCGATGAGCTATAAAAACGTGGCGAAAAATAGAAAGGAGAAGAAAGCTCACTTGTTAGAATATTGGAGCTTCTCAAATTGCTACATTGCTAGAAAGCTTTCAATCGATGAGAAAACCTAAGACCAAAAACCTCTTTATATAGAGATACTCTAACGATTTTTTGTCTCGAATAAAGTCAAATTATATCTGCTCTCCTACAAGAGTTAGACTTGCAAGGGCAGTGTGCATAATTTGTTTCCAGGATGGATATCTGCGGTGGTATTGTATCTTAAGACTATTCGAAAAATTAAAGGAATGTCTTGAATACTACTTTGAGGAGAGGGCCCAACTAGAGAAATGATCTCGTGGAGCTTGGAACATTTGAATAGGGGGCTCCCTCTTTAATTAATTACTCAAAAGAATGTGGACTTCAGTTTCTTAGTCTTTCCTTGAAGTTAAAGCTGGTTATTAGGTGCTTTCACGTGTGAGCCTTATGTGATGCTATGTTGTTCGGACTCTCCAAAAGTGTTGCCGCACCCGTGTCGGATCCTTCAAAAATGCACTAAATTTGGAGGATCCGACACACACCCAACAACATTT